CTCATTATTCATACTGCATTGGGCATTGTCCTTCCCTTCTCAATGAAGCATGTTGTACATGAAAAATTTTATTGTATTGGCAATTCTTGAGAGTTCAATATCATAGGTTCTATCTAAAAAATCATTCCCCTATCTTAGCACCTACCTAAAAAAAACACCTCAAGACCAAAGTCATCAAAACGTTCTCCTCAACCGAATATTCAGAATCCCTTCGTTTCAGCTTAGCTATTTATTAGTTCAGCTCATTCATAAAACTAAATTTTCAACTGTCGAATTATCGTTTGGCGTCTTCAATAAATGCAACTTAATATATTTTAATAATTCTTGGTGCTTTTTGTCACGCATTGAGGAAAATAGTAAGAATGATGACTTGCCCACACTCCTAGCCATAAATTTAAGAGCTAATTTGAAAGAATTCAAAATCTCATTATTTACAAGGGCAACTACGGCCACAGAAACAAATTCAACGTTCAGAAATTTTCTCCCCAATGCGTAGCTTGGCCGATCGACTTCGTCTATTCACCTGGATCTCCTCATTGGTGGGTCTTATTGGCCCAACGATCTATAATTCATAAGTTAGACAAATTTGCGTTCACATATAGGTTTTAAAATTTCAAAATTAACATAATCTTGCCACCTTCAATAGTGAAGTAATTATTGTAAAATTACTCAAACCAACAGGTACAAACCTGTCGCCAAAGTGATGGAGACGGCGTTGGCGATTCCGTTAATTGACCACCCAATGTAGTCGCTTCTATGGACGACCGCCACGTCAACGTAGACATATTCGCTAGCCTCATGGCGAGACCATGTCCAGTATCACAACCAGCCATATTGAAAGCTCGTTTGACAAGCCGATCTTCGAGGGAGTGAAATGAAATTACAGCCAAGCGACCTCCACGTCGAAGTAGTCGATGTGCCGCTTCCAAACCAGCACACAGCTCATTCAATTCGTCATTTACAAAGATTCGCAAAGCTTGAAACACCCTCGTGGCAGAATGAGCATTTAATGCCTGATCTTCTTCTTCTTCTTCTTCTTCTTCTTCTTGGTCTTTTGCTCGTTTCTTCTGACTAGAACAGAGAAATTAACTAACAAGCTTAGACTACCCAACCTGTGCTGCAGTGGTCCGATAACCGAAGCTACGAGATCAGCAAACTGCCGGGTTGTTCGAATAGGTCCTAGAGTAGCACGGTACTCAACCACAGCGTTGGCTATTCGCCTAGCAAATCTCTCCTCTCCGTAGACACGAAAAATTCGAGCAAGTTGGGGTGCACTTAGCTTATTCAAAACATCCTCTGCGGTGAAACTGTCTAATGAATCTGTCTTTCCTTCTCTATATATTGAAAATGGGAAATTAATCAATCTAAGACAAACATCTTAAATAGATACTATTAAAACAATAGTTATAACCTGGAGGAAACCGAATCAAAGTTCATACGCATATCAAGGGGCGAATCTCGACTCAGTCCGAAGCCGCGAACCAGTGAGTCCATTTGCATGGAACTGGCTCCCAGATCCATCACTATTCCATCCACACTTCCAGGTGGACATCCGATCTCGTTCAACAGACTTAGTGAATCACTAAAACGACCTTGGACAGAATGTACGCGACTACAGATGAATAAAATGTGATATTAGCAAAAGTATGCCCTGACTGTAATGCTGACAAACACCTGAAAATTTTATTTTTGCTTCAAACCATGCGCCTAAATGATGTCTATTTAATCCTGGATCAAACTATTATTTCACAAATTCAATCCCCCAAATAATGTAGGAAGTCAGCGATTCTAATCGGATTTAATGGATGCAAGGCAAGGACAAAATTGTTTTAGCCACAGTGTTTCAAGAATAAAGAAGTGGCTTTTATGTTCCTTGGCACATTAAGCTTTAAGTAATGCCATCGACTATTTGATAGTAAAATATTGTTTTAAGGTGATTTCTAAGCTATGAAACAGCTATAATAGTTTGGAATAAATCCTCTTTGACTGGTATTGACAGCACTTGACCTGGGTAAAGAGGAGGTATAATGGGGCTACTTTTACGGTAACCACCCCTCTTAATGACCAGAAATGACCGGGCAGTTGGTACCCAATACCAAAGATGCACATCGATAGGCATTACTCTCGTAATCTCATACTAAGTAACCTTGTTCGTGAGTATCCGAAATTCCAGCAAATAAACTACCACTAGTTAGTTGACAAATATGAACGAAATAGTACAATTTCTTTATTATCAAACAATATAGTATTGAACTAATTTAAGTAAGCGCTAGATGTCCTATTACAAAAGCACTACTTATCAAACATAAGTAGAATAGATTTATTAATGCAATGGAAATAGAATTTGTTCATAAACCGTTTATTTTGCAGTAAACAAACTAATCTTACCTGATGAATTCATCGGAGAGTTCTTGAGCGTATTTGATGGCCAGTGGATCCCTATCCAAGCAGAAAACATGAGCGTCTGGCGACGCTGTTAGAAGAGCCCGTGTATGACCCCCTGCACCAAAAGTTAGATCCACGTACCTCTGAAAAATCAATACATAGAGTAAGCCAGCATCAGAAATTACAAGGATTATATGCAAGGAGATGACCAAACAATGAACACAACTCTTAGTTAACACAACCACTCTAATAATATTTTAAAAATCATATGCTAAACCATACGATTGCCAAGTACCGCAGGGACAATTCCTCAACTATTTTCCATTTCCTTATCCCCTGTCCCAATCAACCTCTGTGGCCAAATACCTGTACAAAAAGGGAGCAGNGCATAATTGTTCTTATATACCCATTTTCCGAGATTCTTCAAGAACAAACCCGAAAATTAAAGTCTACTTATCTACAATTCTAACAGACCGTCGAAAACAGGATCCCCTACAACCATTGTCATAACTGAACAAAAGTCAAAATGGTTAGATATCTTGCTCCACAACGAACAGGGATAGAAGATTCTTGTGCGTTTACGTAATCTACTCCACAGTGACGAAAAATGGTACT